CAAGTTTTTTATGATGCTACTATGTTGTTATCTGGTTGTTATTATCCAACTATTACTTTAGCTGCTTTACAAATTTTAAATATTCAAAATTTTTTTGCAAAATATCGTATGTATGATATTTTTGGAAGTATAACATTAAAATGAAGAGTAAATTTAATAAGTATTTTAGACCTATTCCTCATTTTTTGGTATTGGTGTTCTTATTGATCCATGCTTGAAGGAAATTGGCCTTTGAAGTTTGTTACAATCATTGTATGGTGGACAGATTATAGACTTAGATGATGGATCCACCCTTACTGCTACTACTCATTATTTAGCTATTAGAAATTATTTTCAAACCTTATATGATGAGTATGCAGCTAGATATGGTGTAGCTACACAACAGTCTTCAGCTTCGGCACCTTCAGCTTCGAGCACAGGTCGAGGTAAAAGTGTAAGTTTTGATAGGTATGCAATGGTAGCTGAACTAACTGGTGGATCTGGAACTTCATCAGGATTAGATGTTTCTGAAATAGATGAATATTTTTCTGCTTCTTTAGTTAGATGTCAAGGAAATGCTTTAGATATTTTGCAATGGTGGAAAGTATATGGATCAGTTTCATATCCTATACTTTCCACCATGGTTCGTGACTTACTATCAGTGCAGGTTTCGACTGTAGCCTCGGAATCCGCTTTCAGCACAGCAGGACGTTTGATCGACGACCACAGGACATGCTTAGATCCGTATACTGTACAAGCGGTGATGTGCTTACAGGATTGGTGGAGATACGAGAAGCGAACACAAGGCATCGAACGGATTGCTATGATTGAAGATAAATTTGAAGAGTTAGGACTAGCAGATAGATATAATGATTAGATAATATTCATAAAATTGTAATTTTGTTTTCTTAGCTTTAAATTTGAATTAAATTATTTCGAAAAAAGTTGCAAATGATAGTGATATGAGTGAGTAGGTGCCAACCTAGTTGGGATGTACTCATCTATTGTGATGCGACGAATTTCGAAATAAATTTATACTTGTAAAGGATTTGTAAAGGATTTACCGATTATTAATAAAGAAGTTATTTTTATCATTTTTTGTACTTGTAATTTATGTCATTTCATTTCAAGCTATTAATTAAATTTATGACATTTTTTATAATAATTTATGGTTTATGGTTTTGTTAAAATTTAAAAAAAAAATTCTAAAAAAAAATCAAACCGGGCCGGCCCGGTGTCCGGCCCGCTCAGGCCCGGGCCCGGTTTTCCGGGCCGGGCCGGGCCGGGCCCGGGCCGGCCCGGATGGGCAGCCCTAGATGAAGTCTTAGTAGGGTCTTTTCTTGATTACTAATTTATCAAACCCTTCAAGAGCAAGCTAAGATACGTAAAGCGTTCATGTATGTTAATGAGGAATGCATTCTTTTTAGATTTTTTATTACAATAAAAAATTTCAAAAAATTATTTTGGTGAATGAATATGATCATTTTGGTTGACCACGGAGACGTCACTTGGACTATGGGTATCGCTGGAGAGAAAATATTACTAAATTCCACGTGTAAGTATTGTGACGTGAAGCAAGCGCAAACTTTGGTAACATTCTTCAACCGTCCAAAACTATTATTTGCATGAGTGCTTTACCTTTCCCAAAATAAGAAGAAAACCATAAGGTAGTTTTTCATATTAGCCACTTAAATGTTTTCTTGCAACGAATCATCACGGAAGGAAAAAATGCACATCCCTAGTTAGTGCTGATCCAAAAAAAAAAAAAATTCTTTTAGGGGCCTGAGAATAAATATCTATTTATCTAAAAATAAAAAATATAATATTATAAGTCGGTATTACCTGACGGGAATGCATATCAGTATGCTTTATCGTTGGAAGTTTTAAATGGACTTCTCAATGGGCTATTTTAAAAATTTAACTAATTTTTTAGTGTTTTTTAGACTGTCTTGGCTTTGCGGTGCAATTTTAAAAAATGATGGAGGGCAAAGTGTAAAGATTATAACAATTTAGATGCAATTTAAAATCATTAGTGGTGCCCCTGAATCCCTAGAATGTACATAGATCCGCGAGTGTACCTAGTATGATCTAACTGCATTAGACATGGACTTGAGGGCTAATTCGATGGTACATCGTAGTATTAATAGGGAGTTTATGTTGTATCCCGTGTTAAAATAGAAGATTGGATTATAGAAGATCTTTAATATTATTGTGAATTTAAAGATATAAATTTCTATATTTAATTAATTTAATGTAAAAAATTATATACATCTGTAATCATACTCCCTTTAAAAGAGGGAGTTGTGGAAAAACTTTCTAATGACTATATTACTCATATTCTCTTTTGATAGTATATTCTAATACTAACTAAACTAAATTAATTATCATTGTTAATTAATTATATTATATGTCACTTTAAGTTTGCATAATTTGGTCCTTATAACTTCTAACGTTATTATAAAACTCTACATCATACTAATTATTAATAATGTATAATAGTATATTAATAGATAATTGCATATCAATAAAGTATTTATGGAAAGAATAGAAAACATAGAGTTATCCTAAAATTATACCATGAAACTCATATAGAAAAAATACAAAGAGTATTCTTATGTTTAGGTAACAAGACAGAAGATACAAATATGAAATTTTAGAAAACATTAGGATATTTAAGCGCATCAAGATATGTTATCTAAATTTAAAAAAAAAGTGCAGCAAGATACAAGTGGATGTATATAAGTATAATTTTGATAAACTACAAGGTATTTAAGCTCAGTTAAGCGTAGAAAAGATTTGAAACATTTGTTATCTATAAACAATAGTTTATGATCCCATTGACAAATGATATTCATCATACAATATGAGGCCAGCTGCTTAGCTTATATTTATATAGTAGAGGAGATATGGAAAACTTAAAGCATCATATTTTGAATGAGTCTCAAGATTTTGAATTATTTCCTGAAATTATATACTTCGCTTAGAAAACTTTAGAAAAGGCTTTTGAAGGACTACCACAAAGTTTTGGACATTAAATAAATATTAAAATACTAAATTCCATGATATTTGGTAGCAAAAATCAGGGATATGTATGTAATACTAGGTGTCACATGAATAAATATTCATACATAACATGACATTGTAATATGTAATCTAACATATTAATGGATTTTAAACATAAGAATTTGCATCAAGATATATATTTAAGATTTGGAAGAGCCTAGAGTGGAGAGATCTGGGAGAAGACTTGTGGGCTTTGTGGGTTTTACAGGTTTCGATTTTATTTTCCAAACACAATCCAAACCCCAACCCACAATTAAATTAAAAAATGTCATGATTTTCTCGATATCTTCAAAGGGATATATCAGTCATATTTTTGATAATAGTCGATTTATCAAAAAACTAACAAACAAAAGAAAATAATATGAAATATTATCAAGATAAAGGCTTTAACCTGATATATTGACCGATATAGTAATATATTGGTCAATATTTCATAGAATGCCTATAAGAGCAAATATGTAAATGTTATTTAGATATTAGTTCCTTGATTTTAAATATCCAATGATTCTATGTTATTCTCACAAAATTTTGAAATTGCTCATAATTTTAGGGACTAGTATTAAATTATTAAATTTTAAGAAAAAATTTATAAATAAGCCATATTTAAAAGAAATGTTAATTTTTAAAAAACCTCTCAACTATGGGGATTGTTTTAAAAAACCCAGTCAACTGATTCAATTTGACAAAACCCTCCCATTATGTGGGGTATTATAGATAGCCCCTCTCAATTTTGGTACAATTTTAGAAAACATCTCTCAACTATAGCATATCTCATAAAAACTCCCCTAATCTTTTACACTTCTATCAACAAACCCCCTTAACATAGTTACTTCGATATGTGATTTGGACAAAATACCCTCTTAAAGAAAGTAATTTTAATTAAATAGAAACCCTCAACCGACAATAAAAGGATCACAATCAATTTACAATTTTTCCCTCTATATCACCTCTTTTATCTGACAAAAACCAAGATACCCTATATGAAATCCCATAAATAAAAATAAGATATTTTTCCTCCAAGAATTTCAAATCCACTCCAAATGCTAACAATTTTGTTGGACCAAACAGCCCCTTAACGTGTGGCCTTTGAATTTACACGCCCGCCCTATGCCATGACGAAAAAAGCATTCAACCGCATTAAAACTTCGGAGTTGTATATGATTGCTGAGGGTGAAAATAATGTATATTATTAATATTTTTTATTTTAATCGGTGACGCAAGGATCCTCTATCCGCAAACTAAAGTGGTTTCATGCAAATTTAAAATTTGTCGGTGACCAATAAGCATGAAACCCTCGTAGAGCCAAACAAACTCCATAAACACAATAAAAGGTTAAAAACACACAAATTTTGTGAATGGACAAGATAACGAGGCACATGATCCCATTACATTGGCCCCACGAGTGGTAACTGGGTCCCACATCCCCAGTGTTTTTCTTACAACGACGGGAAAAAAAAGGTATTCAAAGCCTCCCTCTTCCTCGTTAAAATCCTCTGCTCTCAAATATCAATCCCACACCTCTCACTTCATACTCCCTCTCTCTCTCTCTCTCTCTCTTACTTTCTCTCTCTACTGCTAAAATCTCTGATACCCTCCCTACACTGGGAAGTCCAACCTCAAAAAGAAAAAGGAAAAGGGGAAAAAAAAGAAAAGAAGAAAGAAGAACAAACAAACAAAGAAAAGCACAAAGAAATAAAGAAAGGCGCCAGTGAACCCAGCTGTATTCTCTGTATCTCTCTCATCCTGGCATCACATTTTATTCTTTAGAGAGAGAAAGCATCAAGAAAGAGTTCACACTGAGCAGAGAAAAAAAGACCCATTTTTTATTTCTGAATGGGCAGCAAATTCTTTTTCTTCGCCCTGCTGCTGGCGGCGGC